AAATATTTTTTAAAGACGTCTACCCCGGTTTTCCGTTGATTTTCGGATTTCGAGATCTCGATGATGGGAATACATAGGAACTTCATTTCTTTTGTATTTCTTATCTATATTGGTAGACCTGTTCAGAAAAATTTTTGTAGAGATATTGCATGCGTTAAAAAAAATTTTTTTAAAGGGGGGTTATAATTTATTAACACTGATTTTTTGGAAAAAACGTTAAAAAAAAGTCTGAGATCAAAAATTTTTAAAGATATTTTGTAAATATTATTTAATATACATTACAACACTACTACAGAAATTTCAGAACAATCCGACATCGGGAAGGTAAGAAACTCAAAAAATTCAAGGGGGGTTATAATTTCTTAACACACTGTATTTCGTAACAAAGTACGAGTACGAATTTTGGTACAAGCTTATAAACACTGCACAACCCTTATTAGTATGTTAATTATTTTATTTAAAATGAAGAGGCACTCTTAATTTTTTGAAAATTAAAATTTTATTTTTAAATTACCTTTAAAAATAATTTAAAAAAAGTATAAAAAACATTTTTATAATTTTTAAAAAATCAGATAAAATGGAATATTTAGAAAAGTTTAGCCTTTGTATCACAAGGGTTAATTTACGAATAAATAAGCCTGAAAATAAATACTATGTATTTATATACATAAATTTAAAATTAAATATATTTTTTGTTAAATAAAGAATTAAAGGATTAATTAATTTTATTTAAAAATAATATTTTTTAAATTTCTTTAAATAAATTACGAAAAGAAACAAAAACAAAGAAAAAATATTTTTCCTACCTTTAAAATTAAAAAATATTTTGTGAGATTTTATTATGTAAAATAAAAAATTGAAAAAATGTTGTTATGGATATATACTCTTTAAATATTTATTTTTGTATATTTTAAAAATAATTTTTTTAATAATTTTTTACGGTAAATTTCCGGTTTTCTTTTAACTATTATTTTATGTACTTTTATTTTTCTTTGATAAATTTCAGAAAAAAAAAAAAATTATTTTTAAAAATAGAATACCTAAATAAAATTATTTAAATTAATAAAAAAATAAATAAAATTTATTTTTTAAAGTTTTGTAATTAAAAATTAATTAAAAATTAATATACATTTATTTTTATCGCTCCGGATTTCAATCAGTTCCGCGGGAGTTCACTTCCAATTACTTCGGTAGTCGGGATTATTTCGAAGAAAAGCTTGTGGAAGTAACCAATAGAATTAGAAAAAATTACAAAATGAGGAATTGTGGAGCGAAAACACGAAAAATTCCTCATGGGATCTCGATCTACAAATATCTGGAACCGAACCGTTAAATCCTCGATTCTTCGGTTCCGAACTAACAACCCTACTTCGATTAATATATTAATTAATTAATATAAATATTTATTTATTTATTAACTATTAATATATTGATTTTATTCAGTTTTTTTGCTTTTGATTTTAAAAGATAATTTTCTGTATGCCGTTTCCATCAAAAACACTTAAACTTTTGGCATTCAAATGGTTTTTTGCAGTTTTTAAAAAACGACAATCCTTTAACCCTTTTTTATCAGTGGCAATCCATTTATGGACAATCATAGAATGGGTAACTTCCATTTAACACTTTTTGGCCGTGACGATTCTTTAATTGAGCTATCCTTTAAAAGGCAATTGTATAGGTGTACAGCAAGTTTACTCCTCCCTCTTTTAGACAATCAATATATAAACTGATTATTTTGTTAAAAAAGGTCATTTTATTTTTAGTTTTGTTTTTTAATGTGTTAACCTCTCCTTGTAATTAATCTCCCCTTCACTCTTTTATTTTTTATTTTTAAAGAATAAATGACCGAAAGTTGTCCAAACTGTAAATATTATTTAACTAAATTAAAAAATAAAGAAGACCATATTGAAGATCTAGGGGAAGAAGACGAAAAAAGAGGAAATTTGTTATATTCTCTTGTTTGTTTTTTTTATTATTTTTCCAGAAATATTTTGAATTTTTAGGAACAAGAGGCTAAGCAAAAAGAAGAATTAATTAATTTATTAAACGAATTAATTGATTCATTAAAAAGGGAAAAATCAGAAATTGGACAAATTGTTAATTCTTTTGAAGCAAAATTTGCAAAAGAAAATTTAAATATTTCTAATATTCCCAAAATATTCCAAAATTTAGTTAATTTTTACGAAGAAATTTATTTTACGTCATTTAAAGAAATGCCGCAAGGTAGGTATATTAATTCAAAGGGGTGTGCAGAAACTAGAGTTGATCAAGACGAGACCGATACCGAGACCGATACCGAGATTCTCGGCTTTTTTCCAATATCGGTCTCGGTTTTTTCATTCTCGGTCTCGAAACCGATACCGATATTCTCGGTCCATTTCTCGGCGAGAAACGATACTGACACAAAGAAACAAAATTCTCAATATTGTCCAAGTTTTCGTCCATAATTTTTTCGGATATTCATCCATAACAGAGAAAGTGATTTTTTCGAATACGGTCTTCTAAAATTCAAAAAATTTTCGTCTGCGGCGCTGAAATGTGGAATTTTCCGAGCCCTCGGCCGTTAGATTTTCAAGATTTTGATTACAGAGCCTTCCAATTTTCGGCAACTGTTGTTCCCACCGGTGTACGGAATTTTTGTCACGGAATTTTGGTCACCACGATTTTTCGGAACTTTGGTCACCAATTTTTTCGGAATTTTGGTCACCAGCGGAATTCTGGTCACCAAATCAAAAAACGGAATATTGGGCACTGAATTTTGGTCACCAATTGGAATTTTGGTCACCAAACGGAAAAAAATAATATTATCTAAAACTGATATCAAAGTGATATAAAATTGTTTTTCAACTCCCAGTTGATCAATTTCAATGTTATCACTCATACAGTTAATCAATCATACGGGAGAGTGATCGAGAGTGATCAACCAAGAGAGTGATCAGCCGGGAAAGTGATCAGCATTGAAAATAATCATCAGGTAGTTGAAAAACAATTTTTTAACACTTTGATATCAGTTCTAGATAAGATTTGTTTTTTCCGTTTGGTGACCAAAATTCCTCTTGGTGACCAAAATTTCAGTGCCCAATACTCCGTTTATTGACTTGGTGACCAAAATTCCGCTAGTGACCAAAATTCCAAAAAAGTTGGTGACCAAAGTTCCGAAAATCCTTGGTGACCAGAATTCCAGTGACCAAAATTCCGGCACCCGTTCCCACCAGCGGATTAAGGAGATTTAAAATGATAGGAAGGAGGGATGATCGCATTGAGTTTGCGTTCTGAGGGCAAAAAATGGAAGAAATCTGGCGGTAATAGTGTCGTTTCCCAGCCCCCTTTTTTTCCTCCCAATTTTCTACCCTATGTTTGTACGGAATGGTCAAATTTTCCCCTTTCTTTCATCAAATTTGCCTTTCCATATTTTGCCTAAAAACAATCAAAAATTATTTTTTATTCATTTCTTTCACAAGGATAAAAAAGTGAGACATGATGCCAAAAATTATAAAAAACATTTTCAATATTGCCAAATCGTTTTCGCCACATAAATTCCGGGAGATAACTTTTATAGGTTTCAGTGTTGTTGCCAGCTTGATGTCTGCTTGATGTCGTAATTTTTCATATAAATCAATAGGTTTGAAATTCTTTAGTTCTTCCATTTTTATTAATTGGGAAAATGATTCTTCTCATTACTCTAATACTTATTTAAATATCACAAATTAATCTTTTTGATTGTTTTTAGGCAAAATATGGAAAGGCAAATTTGATGAAAGGGGAAAATTTGACCATTCCGTATAAACATAGGGTAGAAAATTGGGAGGAAAAAAAGGGGGCTGGGAAACGACACTATTACCAATCTGGCTTCATGGCCTTCCAAAATTCTCAATTTTTGTCTGCGGCGCTGAAAATAGGAAGAATTCTGGCTTCTTGGCCTTCCAAAACTACAATTTTTCGCCTGCGGCGCGAGATTGGAAGAAATCTGTTGACTTGCACTTCTAAAATTCTAAAAATTTTTGCCTGCGGCGCTGAAATCAATGGTTTGGTTAACCGAAACGCCTAAAAAGTTGTGCCTAAAAAGTTGTGCCGAAATGCCCAAAAAGTAAAAAGTTGTAAGGATATAATCGGATACGGAAGTCGACCTCACGGATATACCTATTCGGCACAATAATTAGTATCCATTGCCAAGCCAGATCGGATCCAGATGATGAAGAGTATTTATCTGATGATTTGGATGATGAAAATAATATATAAATTATTTTTACACGTATTTTTTGACATAAAATAAAAATTTCTGTTAGTCTCGGTCAGTATCGTTTCTCGGTATCGGTCTCGGCTCAAAATGTTGGTATCGGTCTCGATATCGGGTTCTTGAGTATCGGTCAATCTCGGTCTCGGGTTGGCCGATACCAGTATCGTTTTGATCAACTCTAGCAGAAACTGATTAAGTTTAGAGAGAGAAAATTATTAAAGAAGCGAAAAACTTTTAATTTATTATTAAAATTAAAAATTTAATCCTTTTGTTTTTTTAAATAAAAACATTTTTACCTAATAGTTGAGGGGGAATATAATCAGAAATTAAATTTTTTGATTTTTCTTTTAAATATTTTTTAATTTTTAGCCAACAAAACTTTTATTCATTTATGTAAAATTTTAAACAAATTTCCAGTTTTCCAAAATAATTATGTAAGTTTTGTTTTTTTAATTTAAAAATTAATTTTTTAGACGTATAATCAACAAAATATCCAATCAACTTCTCATTTAACTCCTCTAAAAATAAATAATTATTATTCTCCACTTCCAAAAGTTTTTCCAAAAAATAATGAGGGGGGTATTTTTAATCGGTCTGATAAATATAATAATTATATTAATAAAGAAGAAATTAATTTATTTAAAGAAGAAAAGAATATAAAAATTGAAAATGAAGAAGAAAAAGATTTTGGTTATTTAAATAAAGAATTGAATAAGTATAGAGAAGATTTTGATAAAAATGAAGAAAATTTAAGTTTTGAGAATTTAAAAGAAAATAAAAAAGAAAATAAAGAAGAAAATAAACAAGTATTTATTGAATGGATGGAGATATTTGGGGATGAAAATTTGTTTAAGGAAGGAGGAGAAGAGAATAAAAATAAAATTATTTTAAAAGAAGAAGAGGAAGAAGAGAATGATTTTGAGTTTGTTGAAATTAAACAAGAAGAGGTTATTAATGAAGAAATTTCGAATAATAATTGGATTAAAAGGTAAAAGGAGATTTGAAGGGGGATTTAAATTTAATTTTTTTTTTAATTTTCAGATTTTTCAAAATTATTTTCATTTTGGTTATTATTTTTTGTTTTTTACTGCCAAATGTTCTTTCTTTTTGCGGATTTGATATTATTGATAATGAAAATGGACAAATTTTCCCTGCATTTTATTTTCCATTAATTGATGTTGAATTTAGTGAATTTTAAATTTTTTTGGAATTTTTTTTTTGATTTAATTTTTATTGTTTCTCCCCATTTTTAAAAATATTGTATAATAAAAGATATTCTTTTTTTGATGATTTAAATAATTTTTAAAAATTAATTTATCTAAAAACAATACAAATATTTACAAATAATTTACAAAAAAATATATTTTTTTTTAATTTCTACAAATATTACACACAAAAATCACTAATTATATTTTTAATTTTGAGCAATCACAACATTAAATATATACCCATTTTTTCAAAAAATTTTTTTCTTCTTTTTTAAGCCATTAATTCCCCTTCTCCATCATTCATTAAAGGAATACATTCATCTTCATTTTGTACCAAAACCCTCATTTTATTTAAAATTGTTTGTTGTTGTTGTTGTTGACTTTTTTGTAAGCAAGGGGAAGACAAAGAATTAGTTAAACCTAAATTTGATTCAAATCCGCTAATAATTATTGAATTATTTAAAGTTTTTTGGTTTTTTGTTGTTGAATTGTCTATTGAAGGATGGGTTTTTAAAAATAAATTATTTGGATGTTGTTGGGGTGTAATTGAATTTGGGTGATTAGTAGTAGATGATGAAACTGAAAAATAAAATTGTTATTTTAAAAGTAAATATGTCGTTCCCTTCTGAATATTTTTTTAAATTAACACAAATTTTTATTTCATTAAATGTTTATTTGGGGGATTTGGTGTAAATAAAAGGAGGGGGGAAGTATATCGGTGGGGCCCTATGATATTCTTCCTAATCCACTTATATCCCCCTTAATGCCTCCTAATCCAAATTTTTATTAATCAAAAAAAGGTGTGGGGGATTTAGGATTTACCTCCAATTAAATTAATATTTTTTCAATTTAAAAAGCACCTTTTCTACAATTATTTAAAGGTACACGTAATTGTGTTCCTGTAGATATTTTTCTGTCATTATTTGGTGGATATAATTGATTATTTGGATATATTTGTTGTTGTTGGATATTTGAAGTATTTAAAACTGTTTGTTGTAATTCTGTTATTCTTTGAGTTAATATTTCTTTAAAAAACAAGAGAATTAAAAATAAAAATTAATTTTTAATTTAATTACCAATCATTCCAACAAATTGATCTTGTGTTCTATGCATTTCCCAAAGTGTTTCGTGCATTTCTGTATGTAACTAAAAAATAATTATTTTTTTAAATTATTTTTTTAGTACTTTTCCAACATCCAACAAAGAATTCCCCCTTTCTTGTAATTTCCTTTGATCCCATTTAATTCTTCTAAATTCATTTATTGCATTTAAAAATCTTTTTAAAAAATAATTTTTTAATTAAAAGATATTTTTTAAAATTTATTTACTTTCTTTGATGTTGTCTTAATCTAATTTCATCCCCTTTATGTCCATTTCTTTGTTGATATTTATGTATAAACCTTTTTAAAAATTAAAAAAAATTTCTTCAAAAAGAAAAACCAAGTATGTTGCAGAACAGAAGCGGCAGCATTTTTCCGTGCATTTGTTAATTTAGAATCTGCCATAAAATTGTTTACGTGTTTTTCTGCACGGGAAAGTTCTAATTTTCGAGAAATAACGGCAATTAATGCTGAAGAGACCCCCGCCCCCTAAAAAATTTAAAATAAAAAGAACAACAATTCCTCTAAAAACTGACAACAATCCCTGTAGTTATTGAAAGTAAACGACCACAATAACTTGTTGGAACAACATCTCCATAACCAATAGACATAAATGTAACCATAATAAACCAAAGAGAATTCATATAATAATATTCAGTACTTGCTTCTCTTCCATTATAACGTTCACATTGAGTAAACTTTAAAAGAGATTTTTTAAAAAATAAAAAAAATTTCTAACCATCCAAGACATACACATCCAATAGCAACAAGTAAAAATAACTAAAACAGTCATTGGGTGATCAGCCTAAAATTTAAAAATATTTTTTTCTTCTAAAAACCCCCAAAACAAACCATCATTGTTTTAATTACAAAACGAAAATCCATTGAAATTCGATTTAATGCTTAAAAGTATTTATTTAAAAGGTTAATAATTTTATAAAAATTTTTATTTTCTACCAACCAGCTATTGAACGAGTAGCGGCATCCTTAAAAAATATTTATTTTTCAAAAAATATTTTTTTCTATTAAATTACCTGGAATTGTCTAGAATGTAATACCATAAAACGGCAAAGCAAATAAGCACGTAAAAACATAGGGACGGCCAACAAAACATCCAAAGGGACAGAAACTTTTGTAAAACTGTGTTCATCTGCAGAAATATAAGGCCAAGAAATAGTGCCACTTCCCGGGAACGGACAGATTGCGCAAATAAATATTTCGATAAATCTTTAATTTTAAATTAAAAATATTTTTTTTCAAATTTATTTACAATTTAATTATTCTGTCAGTCGTTACAGCTACACGCCAATCTCTTTAAATTTTAAAATTAAAAAAATAAAGGGGAAAATTATTAACTCAGCCCCACTATCAATTAAAGCAATTTTAACTTCTGTTCGATGATAATTAACTAAAGAAGCAATTAATAAAAGTGTAGAAGCAACACATGCTGAACGTAAAAATAAAGAAGGAAGGGAATTTTTTGAAACAATTTTTAAAGCTGTTAATTCTAAAAATATAATTTTATTTTTTTTTCAAATTTTTCTTGCCTTGATCTAAAACAACAAAAAATAATCCAATTATAGCTAGAGCCAAAGACAAATCACAGATTTTATTTCTTTTTAAAAAATATAATTTACGCAATTTACAACGCATTTTTGCTTGACTTTCACTTAAAAATTTAAAAGAAAAATTAAAAAGAAAATAAAAAAAGAGAGGGAGGAAAACCCCTCAAAAATATTTTCTTTTTCAAGAAATCCGAGCCTTTTATTGCCAAAATATTCCCAAACATTTTCTTATTTTTGTTTTGTTCTCTTTATATTTTAATTGTTCAAATAAAATAAGAGAAATTTTAAAAATTTTAGGTAAAATTCTAGGTATATTCACAATCCCTACCCCAAAAGTTCAAAAACATTTTTCTAAAATATTCTTCCCCCAACTTAACTTAATTTAATAATTGAAAAAGTTAGAATAATAGAGATATACATATATTGTTTGATAAGGAAGGTTAGATTGATAAAAAAATATGGAGAGATCGAGTCTTGAATTTAATTTTTAAAGATTTTGTCAAAAATTAAAAAAAAGACGTGATTATAATTATTCGACCAATTCCAAGTATAAACAACCCCCTGATTTATTCCCTAAATCAACAACAATTAAATTACTCAAAATTTAAATTTAAAATTTTTTGAGAAAATTAAAATTTGCTTTAGCTTTTATCAATAAGGAAGTAAAAGGAAAACTAAAAAACTTTAAATAAAAATTTGTGATTGCTTCAATTTTAAATGCCAAATGGGAGAAAAAGGTTGGTTAATTGACTAAAAATACGTTAATGTTTATAAAAGGAAATATGCCCACAAAAATGGTCTTTTTTTGTTAAAAATTTCAAAAAAAAATTAATAAAATATATTTTTGTTTCTTTTTTAAGAAAAGAAAATTCTAAAGAAATTTTTTTAATTTAGAAAAAAATTTTTTTGGGAAATATTTATAAAAATATTTAAAAAAATTTTCTCCCAAAAATAAAAATAAATGATTAAAAATTATAAATTAATTAATTAAATATTTAAATTATTATTTCAATTCTAGTAGCTTCACCAGAAAAATTTCTTATTTCTCCTTCCCTATCCCCAATAAAAGGAGGGTTTGAGAAGTTTTTCTAAAAAACCCTTATTGAAAAAATAAAATATTTAAAAAGAAAAATAATATGTGTTTATTTAAATATTCTTCTCAAGATTTTATGAATAATTTATTTTTTCCGGAAATTGATCTCTTTTCTTCTCAATTTTCTTAAAATATGAATGTCTTGGAGGTAAAAAAATAAATTAAAAGTAAATAAATACCAATTACCGTATTTTTCCCAATAGAAGCGCACGTCCCATTTGAAGCGCACGTCCCAATAGAAGCGCAGTCTACGAGGAGGTTGAAAAATACAAGCGCAGGTCCCATTAGAAGCGCACGTCCTATTATAAGCGCACCCTATGAAATACTTATTTGAGCAATTACCCAGTTACATAGTTACTATTTTAAACAAGGATTATTCATTTACATTTAGATTAAGAATTTACACTTTTTTATAAAAAATGGATTCTATGGATTCTAATTCCGGTTCGGAAATTGAGTTTTAAGTAATGTAACCACTGCTATGTTCAAGTAATGTAACCGGTGTTATACTCGAAAATGCTAATCTTATTCTATCAATAAATTTTTTCAATCTTCCCTTTGTACTACTTTCACGTAAACGACCTGATCCCTCTCTTGTCGAAAGATTTAAGGTTTTTGAGTTATAATTGGGGAAAATTTTATTTCGATCTTGCCTAGGAGATGGGGTGGAAAAAGCTGGATGGCTGATGCCCTCACAATCGAATATTTGAGAGCAATTATAGGGATTGCCCTATTGTTCTCACAACGCTTGCTTATTTGGGTCCACCACCATGTGTTTTATTTGGGATGGATAGTTGAAGCATGGGATGTGATTTCAAAAGAAAATGTTGCAAAAAGCTTTTGGGTTTGTGGAATTGGAATTCCAAGTGACGGTTCCGAAAGTGCTTGAGAGGATGAAGAACATCAAGCTTGAGAGGATAAAGAAATTTCAGAAAGTTAGGTAGAAATTGATCTTAATGAAGATAATAAAAAAGGAATTGTAATTGATAATTCTATAGAGATTTAATATTTGTTTTAAATTTCTATAATGTTATAAAAATTAATTCGCATAGGAGTTGAAAAATACAAGCGCACGTCCCATTTGAAGCGCACGTCCCAATAGAAGCGCAGTCTACGAGGAGGTTGAAAAATAGAAGCGCATGCGCTTCTATTGGGAAAAATACGGTATTTTTTACAATTTAAATAAAATCAAAACAATTTTCTAATTTTATTTTTTTAACAGAATTTTAGAAAAAAATATTATTTTTAAATAAAATTTATTTAAAAAATTATTCTCTCTCTTTTTACATAACAACCAATAATATTAAAATAAAATTATTATTAAATTTAACAAAAAAGAAAATATATTTTCCCAAAACTATATTTTCTTTAATTTTTTTTGTTTAATTTTCTCACCTTTTCACACAAATAAATACCAAAATTATTATTTTTCTCAAAAATTAATTTTAAAAAAAAATGTCAAAGAAAAAAAAAGACTTAAATAAAACAAACGTTGTTATGGAGATACCATAACCAGACTGTCTTCTCCTCAAAATTTGTTGTTGTTTTTGTTGTAATAATAAAAGATTTGTTTGTTGTTGGGGGTCGGCTAAATTCGAATTTTTATTTAAAATTTCTTCTTCAATTGTTGGACTCCATTCTAAGGATTTTGGAAGATTTAATTCTGTAGTAGTTGATAATAAATAATTATTATTATTTCCTTCACAAACACCGCCGGAAGAATTAACCAAAATTGAGGAAGGCGGCTGTGTGAGGTCGCCGTTACATCTTTCCTCTTAAATTAAATTTAAAATAATTTTTTCTTTAAAAAAATTTAATTATAAAATTGAGAGTGAAACAAATAATATTTTTTTATTAAATTAAATAAAAATATTTTTTTACATTAAAAAATTTAAGATTTTTTTCAAAATATAATTATTAATTTTAAGAGAAAAAACTTTAAAATAAAAAATATCCCCCTCCCTCATCTCATTCCTAATTACCCCCCCCCCCCCTCTTAATTCTAAATTTCACAACTTCCCTTAAACACCCCCCCCCTTCCCCGCTCAAAAAACCTGTCGAAGAAAAAAAGCTTCCACTATTACGTGAAGAGGGTCTTGGATGTGTTCCAGAACTAGAACAATTCCTTTTCTGTTGATACTGACTAAATAACCGCCTTCTTTGTCTCAACAAACTATGCCCTCTAGAAAGGGGTGAAGAGAATGTTGAAGGTAAATTATTTGTTTTTAATTTATTTTCTTCACAAAAACATTTATAAAAATTAGCTGTTGGGCATTCTTGTTGGTTATTCTGTTGTTGACAACATTCAATAACCGCAGCAGATCTAAACAATTGTTTTTGATATCTCTGATGCCTCAAAGCTGCCTCAGCTAAATCTGCAATACTAAATCTTCTAATTACTTCTTCCTCCTCTTCTTCCTCTTCTCCTCCTTTTTCATTTTGTTTTTTATTTTTAATTATTTTATCACTTAATTTAGCCGTTAATTTAGGTTTTTGTTGGGCGATATTTGTTGATAAAAATGGAAAAAAAGTTTTTTGATTTAAAGAAATTGATTGAGATAATATATTTTTGTTTTCTAAAAATAATTTTGGAGAAGAAAAAGGGACTGTAACTACTATATAACCCCACTTGGATTATCGATTGATTCTCTCTTCTTCTTCAAAAAGGCATAGGCTTTTTTTCAAAGCCTTTCCACCGCTGTTTGCACGTGACATTCACGTGCAACCAGCCAAAACCTTTTGAAGGGTTTTTGCGGTAAATTTTTTCCCAGACAGCCAAAACCTTTTGAATGGTTTTGCGGTAAAATTTTCCAAGTAATTTTTCCAAGTTTTTCTTTTTGCCCCGCAGTCCAAAACCTATAAAATTATTTTTTAAAATTAATTTCCCACCATCGGAGTCGAACCATCAACCTTCAGCCTGTAGTCGGACGCCTTATCCATTCGCCCGCTCGCGAGTGTTAATAGCTTTCAAATAAAATTGAATATATGTCGGCTGGTTTCCTCCTCTCTTTAACCAGCTTCAACGGGAAAAATTAGTATTGATTGAATCACCCCCCACATACCCACTAGGTAAAAATAGAAAGAGAAAATAAAGAGGTATATGATAAGAGTAAGAGAGACAGCACTGACTCAACCCGGTTGAGTCAGTGCATGTTCTCTAACCCCTCTCCTCCCAGTGGGAAAATTTATTATTGATCTATTACCCGGTAAATGCTCACTAGGAGAAAATAGAAAAAGAAATAAAGGAGAGAGAAGGTTATAATGAGAGAGACAGCACTGACTCAAAAGGTTTGAGTCAGTGCGGGAGAATGTTCTCTAACCCAGTGGTTAGAGAAGAAAAAAAAATAGTCTGGCAGCGGGATGGCTGTCACAAACTACAGCCTCCCAGCTGCGGGGGAAGAGAGTGTGTACTCTCTTGGGAAAGTACACTCTCTCTTCTCTTATTTTTCTATTTTTCCTGTTGCAGAAATAACATTTGACCGCTTAACTTATATAACCACAATTGGCCAAACACCCTATAAAATCACATTTCCCCAAACCCCACTTGGCCAACTACACAGCTAACCTCATTTGGTCTAACTATTATTTTTGGTCCCTTGTAGAAACAAGGGGGAAATTTTGAACAATATTCTCAGCCTCGCTATAGGTTAAATAGCCCCGGTTGCGCAAATATCTTATTGTTGAAACCCAACAAAGGATTAGGATTGGCAATATAAGCGAATATAATAATAGAATAATGGGAAATCCTGTACTTATTGTTTGTCCTTGTTTCCCCTCCAAATATTCTCTATCAAGAGATAAAAAATCGTAAGGAACTTTGCTTGTATTATTCATTGTTATTACCAAAATTAGGACAACCGTTATTTATTAACCTAATGTAGAGTCAGAAACAATATGTCTGTTATAATCAATCATTAGCAATTGGTCAAACTCGCCCATAATAATCATCTCAACACCACCTGCTGGAATTGGAGAATTAAATTCTAGACGAACACTCGTTGTTCCGCTACGTAAAAGCTCAAAACCACAAGAATCATCTAAGGTAGACGTTAGGGGAATAACAAAGAAGCTCCAGCCCGATTTAAATTGGGCCATTGAAATATCAAAGGACCTATCAGAATTGGCCATCCCCAATGCTTCATACATGTCAACATATGCCCTTACGAAAATATCCTCGTCAAATTTAAGCTTATAAGAGACCATCGGATAAATATGGCCGCCAGTATGAACTGAAATATCCCTCAAATTGAATGGTTTAAAATTAAACGGTGAAAGACTAATGTCCCCATTAAATGCCCCATTTGCAACAAGTGCGACTGTAATTCGCCTAGGAATGGCTGAGCTGAATGCATTGTATTCAATTTCGGTTCTCCCTGGACTGAGGAAAGTGGACTTCAGCTCAGTTCTTCTCACTGCATAAGTAGCCGGTTTTGATTCAAGGGTTTTGTAAATGTTCATGTTAAGGGAGGGTTGAACCTCAATCATTTTCGCTAATAATTTAACATCGTGGACAAAGATTCTATACTGATTCTCATCCGCAGGATTTAACTTCTGTAAAGCAAAAGTATCCTTGGACCGATAGATACTAAAGTGTATATCGAGATTGTTGAGTAAAAATAATTCCTGATTTCCCAAATCAAAATCTAAGCGAGAAAGGAACTGGGCCCGCTTTCCTTCTTTAAAAATCGAGCAACGTTCTAGAAAACCATGATCAGTAATATCATCATGTTTATTGCTCAACCGATAGCCAATGGAAGAAAGAAAATTTGTTTTTACATTCTCAGGAAATGAGAGTTCATTTGTTAAATAAGATTTATAAGGATAAAGTGTTCCACTATCATAAACCTCTGTATTACCTACAGTAACTTTAAGTTGTTGAACAAATGTTTGCCCAATTCCTTGGATTGATCCAATACCAGTATCCGTTGCCAAAATACGTGTCCATTTTCCTCCTGCTTCCTGTTTTTCAATAGAAAGCTCAAGATGAAGATATGTACGACTCAAGTCTGTCCAGAGATTATCGCTAAACAAGCGAAATAAATATGGGGAGTCTTGTGTTATTGTACTAAGTGGAAGAATTTCACGAAAGAAGGAACGAATAACAGAAACATTTGTGGGAGGAACGGAAAAAATGCTTAAAGCACTGTTAAGAGCTAGCGGGCTGTTCTCATTAATCTTCTTGGAACAACTCATTTTAATATGGTCCTAATGCGTCTATGCGTAAACGTTTCTTTGGACGAGATATTTTCTTTTTTGAAAAAGTAGGAATAAAATTTGGTGGACCAATCTTGGAATAACAAGTCTTATTTATATTTTCGCTATTCATCTGTCCAATTGTTTTGGGACGTCTTTCCTTTTGTCTTTTGAATTCAAAACCATTTCCTTTTTGCTTCTCAATATTATTGGCTGCTTTTTCTAACAAATTCTTAAGTCCTGATTTACCCTCATTCACAAGAGATTCTTTAAGGTCTTTTCCTTCCAATACGTTACTCAGGACACGATTGCCTGATTCCAACCCTTGGCGACCAATGGCTGTGCCAATTTCTTTTCCAATTGGAATCAAATACCTCAGCAAACTTCGAAAAACAGATCCTAAACCGCTACCTCTTTGGAAAGGAACTCCACGAAAAACGTTATAACCACCCCATTGGTCATGAGATTCGGTCAGCGACGACCAATCAACATAAAGAGGATTAAAGTCAGTATGCATTGTAATGTACAAAATTTGCTCTTTCAATTATTTATATTAAAAGCTTTGGAAGCAATAAACTGCGAGACAAATCTATCAGCACTTACTCTGCTTAATATTAAAATAATATTGTCCATAGAAAAACCTGAACAACGCATAAACAAGAAAAATATTGCGTATTTACCACAAGTGCGCCCCATTGGCTGCTGTATTTGAATATTATTATAGGAAACTTTTGTAAAATTTGATAAATATTTTTTAATATAAACGCTAATTGGAGGCCAGAATCCCAGCGAGTCAAAGTAATCAACACTAGAAGGGGAAGAGCAAAATATAGCTATCCAATGAGAGCCTGGGAACATTGAAGGGTCAGTATTAACAACCATACAAAATGGAAAAGTAGATATTGTAAGAGGAATCCTATCAGATGCAAAACAGCCAATATAAAACCTTTTTGTAATAGCATTCCTTCTCAGGATTTTGTCAATTTGTATCGTATTCATTAAAAATAGGCAGATTTTTTAAAGTGGAGAGTTAAAGTACAAGTTCCGTATTGGAATGGCATAAGTACTCCACTGGCCGTGCGTATTTCAATGAGTATTTCAGCAATTTCTTTTACAAGTAATTTATGATATTGTACAGAAAGAAATTGTTCCTCAATAATTTCATCCTGCTTGCCTCGAATTGTCACAATGCGTAGTACAGGAGCTGTAACATCACCAATCACCATTGGTTCAATTAATCCTGGGGCATAAACATGAAAGCAAGAGACACCTCCACTCATATCTGGCATGAATTTTGCAAGAGTTGATTCATTCAATATAGTTTTGTCAAATCCTAGAATATAAGCTAATTGTTCTGTAATCTCAACTTTCTTTACATATTTTCTACCTACAAATAGAGAAAAACGATTTTTATATGAATGAAAATCAAAGGCACAAGCAATTCCTGGTTTACGATAAACTTGAAGCCATGGTTCAAAACCAGTTTCTCTGGTTAAAGATAATAATTTTTTAGTATTTTCATCAAGACTCGTGTTAAAATCCCTTAACATCTCCTCATAAATTTCATTCTCTGACTTGATATCCCCCTCTTGTATTTCAGTTGCATTTAATTCTATTCTTTTCCCCTCTCTTTGTCTCTTAAACTCTTCTTTTGATTTTGTTTTAAGCTCCTTTATTCTTTTCTTGTATTCCATTTCAGTAATCCGTAAATTCTCAGCAAATGTTTCACACCCTTCACTTAAAGACCTGTCTAAGCTTTCCTTGAGCTGTTGGGGATTAGCCAAATTGCCAGAGGGAACAGCTACGCGGACAACCTCACCACTTTGCCAAGTTACAGTTACAAATTGATCAGTACTAGTCCCTATCGAAGGCCATGAGTGAGGGTAGACCATAACAGTCAAGCCCACATACCACTCCGAATTAAATTGTAGCTTACGAGGAAGACGAACTCTAAAGGAGTTTGTCCTGTTTCCATCAACATTTGTGTTTGAAGGGAGGATGATATAGAAAGAAGTCATTTTAAATTATGGTAAGAATGACAGAATATTTATATCATTTCCAGGTTATTGCACTAGCAGGGATCCACCTATTATGTTCGTTACCATATCCTTTGAATTTTACAAATATCTGATCTTCTCTATTATGTCTTCGCTTATCCAAAACTTTTTCCACAATATAGATACTTTCTTTTAATCTTTTTCTGACTAGCACTAAATCATTACCATAAAACCATCCACGAATTAAAGCTCCTCCCCTATCACGAATTCTATAGGTTGGAGGCTGATGTGGAACCAATCGGACTTTAGCAATAATAAAAATTTCATTTGTAAAATTTGGTAAATATCCCTTTTTGAACACTTGCTTATTCTTTTCCACTCTTACAGGGTCGCCTACATTAAACCTATTCTCCTTCCATCGTGTCGGGCCATGTTGCT